GAAGCTAGCATAACCTAATAGCTAAATCATGGGTATTTAACGCAGAATAGAACATGTAATTAACCAAAGTGAATCTTAGAATAGATTAACTTCTTTTGTTATGGTAAAATGAATCAATAGGGTTTCAACATTTAGGTCTCAGTCTTGCACAAACATGTCCCTGTGTGGAGCTGTTTGCGTGACTGGAGCCTCCATTTATTTCTATTATTAAAGAGATAATTGGTGCATAATGAAAAATACTTAAACAACTGTCTCTATTATACAGAGCTGAATCTACAATTTTTCATTATATTGTACTTTTTATTCAGTAGGAGCTAGGAACCCCATAGGGTTTGCGTGTATAATTTATCCACCCTCCATCTTATGTGTGGTTGTTTTGTAATGCAAATAATCTTCTGTCTAAGCTTGGAACAGGGACAAACCATCCCGCAGTGCATCTTTTTTTTTTTCTGTGTTGTCTTTATGTCTGTTCTGTAAGTGCCTACAGAGTAATTCCAGTACTGCAAAGTCAAATCCTGACCAGCTAAACCTATTATTATTGCTATTGGTATTGTTGTTGGTTTTCTTTTCTTTTTTTTTTTTTTTAATACAGAAGTTATTACTTTATTACTGATTCTTTTCTAACTCAAAAAACACCAATGCAATTATTTTGTGATACCGTATGTGCCTTTTGTTGAGCCTTTTCTGACCACAGACTTTCGACAAGACTGTATTCTTGTCTTATTTGTCATTTGTCTTGTCATTCAAGAATTGCTTGAAGCTGGACTCCTGCTCTATTGTAAGAGAAGTCACGGCATGCTTCTTAATTCTTCCTTTTGCAAACTACTAGATGGGGCAGGCATATTCAGTGTTGGAGCTAAGGCACTGTTTTCCTACCTTTTTAGATAAAAGCAGTATTTATCTGAATTTTAGAATTCTACTTGATTTGTTTTGAAACTTTGCAATTATGTGATGAGCCTTCCTTGGGGTAAAATAAACTCGTACTTTGTTGCTCAGCTCAGAAGAGTTAGGAAGACAGTTCAGTTCTACAAAGATATGTGATAGATTATATTTTCCTAGGAAAAATTATATTAAGCCCTCTAAAGAGAAGAAATCACCAAAAAGCAAAAGGCACAACTTGGCTGCTGATTTCATCCTGACAAGATTAAGGAATAGAAACTTCAATAACAGGAGAAATGAAACTTCCATTGCAGTAATTAAACAGGATTACTTAGGAAAAAGAGATCACAGGTCAGTGAACCTCATGCCTCCTCTGTAGCAATCCTCTGTACTCGTGCTAGATTCAGCTCGGTTGTCACCTAACCTGTCACACGAACACTGGAATGAATCTTGCTCAAAGGGATGGAGATGGAATAGATCACCTTAGAAGAATGTAAGATCTATGTCACTAGGTAATTTATGTGGCTGTTGCAAATGAACACATTATTAAAGAAAGACCAGCAGCAAAGCAAAGCCAGGAAAAGACACAAGGAGGTTGCCATGTATTACAATGTGATGACACAGGTTTTTGCATTCTTGCTTTCCTGCACAAACCTGGAGAGAGGGAAGGTGAGAGAGGAAAAGAGAGAGAATGGAAAACACAGCTGAGGAGGGACCAAAACAACCTGAACGACTGTCAGGTGAACTAGAAAGCATCATGAGAAGAAAAAGGACAGTAAGTGCTTTGATGCAATGGGAAGATTACTTCAGCGTAAATACATATGCCTTCAAGGCACGACGCAGCTTCATCATGCACATCTTTGGCACAAACCAACTGCTTTTTTACCATTTCTGCCAATGTTAGACTCAGTTTGATCAACAGGAGGCAGGCAAACAAAGGATTACAGCCCGCCTGAGATCCACATTGAGGATTTGTAGAAAACACATAGAAAACCAGCTGTTAACTATTTTAAAGAATTAGGTCTTCAATTCTAGGATTGCATTAAAAGTCTTTATATTATCTACAAACAGAAGGGTTTTCCAAATTATTTATCTAGCAGGTCAGCTGTAATGTGACAGTGTTGCCACATATTTTGCCATGGCAGGCTGACCTAGATCAAAGCCCTTCTCAGATTCCTTCCTTCTGGGAACACCATACTTGTGCTACAGGTCTTGAGGTCTCAGCATGAAAAATCACAATGCACATATGAAGTAAAAGTCAGTGCAATCGCACCCTGAGGTGACCCTGAAATGACTCTGAGAGATTTAGGCCCGGGAGCCTCATGTTTGTGATATAATCATGCACAAGACATATTAGCATCTATACATCTAAAGGGAGAAGAAGTCCTTCTATTGAGAGTCTTTTCCTTACTTCTGATCTCACTATTTTAAATATTTGGAAATATTTCACATCTTTCCAGACAGAAGTAGGTACCAAAAGAAGAAGAAAAAAAAAACCTTTTTTTTTTTTCTCATTAGTAATGCACTTTGAGCTCCTTCTAAAGACTAAGATATCAGTCTTACTTAGTGGTTGTTCTTAATATAGGAAAAATATTGGCAGGGGAACTTTCTTTTCATTCTGCTACTTCAGAGTATGTGCATGACTTACTTTTGCTGCACACTTACTATAAAAAAAAAGTACATACAAAGATAACAACACACATTTTTTTTTTGTTTAAATGTGAATGCCCTACAAATTAATGGACGATAGCAAAAAATTCCTTTCCTTTCTAGCTTAGCTCAGAAACCACAAAGTCATTCAGTTTTGGATCCATTCCTATTTCTCAGACTCCCCAGGAGATTTAGTAAAAGCAAGACATAGCTCTTTCCTGGAACCCCATGGGCATTACCACATGTTTTAGATGTAGATAAGGCTGCTACATTCTGCATTTGGAAAGTCAAGATTTCATTTATAAGGTGCTGAAGCTGGAAGGCTTTCATGTTAGCCCCTCAGTTCAGAGTCTCCAGCAAGAGACGACATGGAGGGTATGTCAGCAGCAAGCAACCAAGCACAGAACAGAGACATCTCAGTTCAGTGCATATGTTCACACAGCTGAGTGCTATGTAGAGATACCATGTGGGTCTGGAGAGCAAAATATTTATGTTAGCATAGCATTGCTTTCAGCAGCAGCCCTTCAACAGCACTGCTCAGGCCTAGTACCAAGTTACCATCTTTTAAGTTTTCAGGTGTCTTGCAAAGGTTAAAAGGAGTCTTCATCGCCCGAGTGATGACTTTTTTCCTGGGTAGATGGGGGGGGGGGGGGAACAAAAAATAAAACCAAAGAACATGTTTGAGGAGCTCTGATTTTGCTCCTGAGTACATGCAGCAGGGTGGCAGGGAACACAGACGACAAGCGTTCAACCTGGGCACAGCTCTGGGAAATGTATTGCCACTGGTTCATGCAGATGGAGAGATGACAGTTCAGCTTTGTAACCACCAGAGAACTGGTTCCTGATTCCTTCTCTTATTTTCCCCTCTTCTATAAGGGCAATGGACCCACCTGCAGTATTTAACCAGGAATAGATGCATGGATAGCCTCTTCTTAGAGATCAACTTCTTAGACTTATGCTGAAGTCTCTGAGCAGGACAGTGGTGGTGACTGGGACCAGGAGTAGCTGTTCTATGGCTTGAACCCTTTTTCCAGCTTCTCCCAATCCTGTCTGCTCAGCCTGGTGATAGGCTTGCAGGCACTCACGAAGAAGAGGGTTGGAGAGCAGGGATGTGCCTGACCTGACTGCTGGAAGGGGAGCAGGTGTTTTCACGCTACTGCTCTTGAGCACAGACACTAGAATGAAATATTCAGGATCAAAATTCAAGGAAGACAAGCACATCTATCAGTAGCAGAGCCACTAAATTCAGGGTTTTTTCAGATTTATGTTATGCCTTTTACATCTTCCCATGACAGCAGCCACCTACAATGATCCTAGCTCCTCTCTTCACATCTGTCTTCCTAATACACTACTCTCAGTACCTCTCCTTTTACCTCTTATTTCCAGCTCCCCTTCCCCATTATGGTCAACTCTCATTTCCCATTTACCCTAACCTCCCAGTTTCCACCACTTCCCTGCTTCCAGATCCCTCCCTGGTTAGCTGGGCAATAGGCAATATGGCATATTTGGAGATGGCAGATCAGCCAGGGAGTATTCATTTGCTATCACGTAGCACAAGAACAAGCAGATAAATACGCTGCATTTGCACTACAGTCCCTCCCCGAGTAGGGCAACAAATTGCATGTTGCTGCTCGTTCTCATTAAACGTTTTAAGGATTTAAATCTCTTTGAGTTCTTTATCTTTCTGTCAAATTCATTTGGAACTGGACATCACTGAGGAATGACGAACAGATGGTATAATCACATAAGCCTCTTCTCACTGGGAAGCAACATTAAAAAAAAAAAAAACAAACAGGCAAAAGTAGCAAAAATAATTATGGTCCTTTTTGGAGACTGGACGGGGGCAGAAAGACTTGACAATTTGATAAAGATTATGCAGTGATCAGGGTCAGAAGCAATGTTTAGAGTGTCCCTTCAAAATGTTAAGAGTCCTTTGGATGGTGCTTACATGTCCTATGATGTACAGATACCACTGAGGCACTGGCTACCAAAAACTGCAAAGGCTGTGGGTCCGCTGCGCCGGACCCCATCCTAGCTCAGGAGGAAAGCCACTTCCTTCCTCACTTTCCATTCTCTCCTCCAGCTCATCAGTTTGAGGAACTTGGCTGTGGTTCAGATAAGCAAGTCTGCAGAGGCAGCCGGGAGCATTTCAGAGAGGCATGTAGTAGTGAAGTAGCCCACAGCCCGGTGTGGGATTCTGGGTTTCAGGACCACCCAAACCAGATGCCGAATGACAGTTTACTGCGCATGCAGTATACGCGCTCAACACTACTGTCCAGATTACTGTTTCTAGAAGGTACTTTTAGCGTTGCTGTGTGGAACAAAGGACCCCAGATCACCGGCACGCACCCCATTTTCATTGCTAGAAACATCATTGCTATATTATGTAAGAGATCTCCTGGAAATTTGTTGCAGTTAATGCAAAATCAGTTAAGCCACTGCATCTAAATAATAAATCTCTAATGCTGTAGATGAAATCCGTGCTGGAGGCTTGTTCCCTAAAATCAAGTAGCTGTGCGCACCACTACTGGAGCACTACGGAGAGCAGCAGCGGGTGTCCCAGCGGGTGCTGGGAAGGGAAGGCTGCAGGTCAGCGCCCCGCTGCCCCTGCCCGGGTGCAGGGAAGGGCTGCAGCTCCGGCCCCTGCGCACCCCGAGCGGAGATGCTGCGGCCCTGCTGACCCCTGGGGCGGCAGACGCGGGGGAGGGCCCCGCTGCCCCACGGGGCCGGCGCTGCGGGCTCAGCGGCGGCCAGCGCCCCTCGGAGACGCCGCCTCGGGCGCGGCCGTGCCGGCGGAGGGTCGGGCGGCTCTGCTCCGCTCCGTGCCGCGGGAGGGGGGGGCAGAGCGAAAGGGAAAGGCAGCGCCCGGGGGACTTCCCCCTGCCCGAGCGG